TATATATATATATATATGGTTGTTGACTACCAAAGTTTGAGTTTGAGTTTGAGTTGGGGTTGGCTCAAAATGAGCTTGAAATTGGCTTGAAAATATTTGATTCAAAATTTTGGCTTGTAGCTCGGCTCGCTTATTCTGATATGAGCCAAAACTCAATTCACATTTCAAGCGATTAATGATCTTCAAGCTAAATTCGCTAAATTCTCAAGTCAAATATTACTAGGGTTGTTACCGATCTGATTTGGAGCCGAGCTAGTATGCTCAAAATTAAATCGAAAAAAATGATCCAAATTTTTGGCTTATAGCTCGGCTTGTTTATTTCGATTTGATCTTGATTTAAGCCAAACTTCAAATCAATTTTCGAGTGAGCAACAATCTTCAAGCTATAGTCACAATTGTATGCAGGAAAATTGTCAACACAAATCTTAAGGCAATCAAACGACCTAGAAGAAAAAAATGTGAAAACCAATGATATGATAGATTTCAAGGGTTCACTAAGCCGATTGAAATCACCAACGACCAATAGAAGGTTGAACGGCTTAAATTTTGTCAGTTATGAAATGATCACCCAAACCGATGACCGGTTGACTCATAGTTGGCCAACTACTACTTGAAAGACTTGGATTTCCAGACCCAAAGCTAATTGATACTTATGAGCAATAATTCGAGCCAAAACTGCTAAGTCGATCGGTCCAAAGGCATACCGATCAAAAGACTTAGACTTATGAAAAGTTGTCAGCATCAGTTGTTGATGTGAAAGGCTTTTGTATCAGAAGACCCTTGCAAGAAACCACATCTCCTCGAGTAGTCTCCCTGAGGAGAACCCCAAACACCTAGTGGTAGAAGAGCCTCCTAGGCACCCCAAAAATAAGAAGATCCACAATACATTGACAATATTTGGTCTAAGCTGATGGAAGGATATTGTCCTGGACATGTTGACATGCTCCGACAACATCTATTGAAGAACTCTTTCTCTTAACAAATCTTGGAGACAAAACCTTTAGAGAAGTTCAAAGCCCCCCACCTAATCTCTTACAAGGGTCAGTCTGAATCATTGTTGCATTTGAGTCAGCAGTGGTTATGTTGGAAATTACAAATGCATTAAAATGGTAATTATTCCTTACCACACTGAGGGAGTCTACCTCAAGAGGTTCAATGGCTTGCTAGTGGGAGTTATTCACTCCTTCATCAAATTCGTGCACTATGCTAGTGCTAAAAAACCTCTGAAAAATCGCAAGCCCTTTTTAAATTCAAGCAAGGAGAGGGCAAAAGCCTTTATTCTTATATCACTCATTTCTGAAAAGAAATGTTGGAGGTGCAAAACTTCTTGCCTCTAATTGCGCAAACTACTTTAAAGCAACAAGTCAGTATGGAGCGGTTCAAGTATAACTTAGGCTTGTGTGAACCAAAGCCTTTAGTAGAGTTGTTGGACATGATCAATCATCGTATCATCGCAAAGGAGGGAGTTATCAACTCTTCCCATCACCAAGTAGAGTCTTATGATCGATGCCCAAGATGAAGGTCTAAAATCAACAGATGAGCAACATCTTTCTGGTCATTCCCGCTATGAGAATGATCATCATACTTGAAACTATAATGGAAACAAAGTGAACTAGGGTCAGACTCGATATTCTGACTAGCGACAGTCACAGTACAATGTGCAGTCGCACTATGAAACCCAGAAGATCCCTTTGAGGATTTCAATGGTTGAGCTGGTCAAGGTCATATAGAACGAAGAGTATTATAAGAAGGCTCTGCCAATAAAGAAGGGGCTTCCCTCCATAACCCCAATGATTGTTGCAATTACCATCAAGACCATAACCATGACATAAAAAATTTTTGTTGTTTTCGTTTCTTTTTTCCCTTTTTCTAAAGGGAGTCACCAGTTTGTCGATCATCGTGTACTTCCCTATTCAAATAAATCTCCCTCCTGAATTATGTAGATGAATCGAGGAGAAGAGTAATCAAATAAGAAGGGACATACAACAAAGTGACTGTCGGCACTATTTTTGGTGTGGGGTTTGCCCGTAAGAAGCTGTCGGTCATCGGAATTGAAATCCCGTTGCCCGCTTCGGAAGGACGTTTTTTTTTTTTTAAAAATTTAGTTTTGAAAAAGATGAAGTTAAACTGACCCCATAATTTTCATAGTTTAAATGAAAGA